ATGTACCTGTATATAAAAAACGCGCCCTATAGTTCGGTGCGCCTTATGTGTGTGTTAAATACAGAAATGGGACACATAACAGAGAGTGCGCCTTTTAGTCCGGTGCGCCTTATGGTCGTGAAAATACGGTATACATAAATATACACATATATACACATGTATACATTTATAGATACCCATACATATATTATGCATCGTTGCATAATATATGCATCGTTGGGCACCAGAGAGCAATCAGGGTTAAGGGTCTTGCTCAGAGACCCAGAGTGGCAGTCTGTGGAAGTGGGTTTCAAACTTGCAACCTCAGGATTCCAAGCTCTATGCCCTAACCACAAGGCCAGCACTTCCCTCCAAGCTTTTCATGTCAGCTGCAGCACTTTCTAGTTCTGCCAGTGTTCTTTGCTCGAGCCGCTTCGGCTGGATGACCGTGATTCCTCCAGTCTCCGCCTCATTCGGTCTCGGCTGCACGGCTTCAGCTCAGCAGGCTCAACTCGGCATTTAGTAATCAGCTGGTCACAAGTCTGGATGACTCTCGTGGGAGTTTCCTAAAATTTCAGCCAAACTCATCCAACTCCTATGTCTACATACAATTATTCAGATTATTTCACCACACAACAACAATGCACGTCTTCCACGACACCCCATGTTTAAGACAACCACAATACTGTTTTAAGTTTAATTAAATTCTCCATGTAAATAATTTGCCTTGTTAATTGTGTTATGAAAGAACAATTTATAACTCATAATTTTCCCATAGCAAAACCACTCTCCGACTTTTGCTTCAAGGTGTTAAAAGGACTTCATTTTATTTATCTCTTACCCCTAATAATTTTTGAGTTGTATTTTGTCTACCAAGTTTCATGAAAAGTTAATTACCTTAAGAAATCCTTAGCATAAATGTAACTTGCTCTTTTTGAAAGTTGACCTTTAAGTATTCTTTTTTTTTTTATTCACCTTTAAGTATTCTTAATAATCAGTCTTTAATTTATTCACTTTGCTACAGTAAGACCAACTTAACTCAGGAGTAATCTAATTCTGTCATATATGTGCAAAGAAAGGATTCGTCTAATCATGTGGGGTTTATTAAAATCAAATATAAGCTGCGAAATCAGTCACTTTGCATGCCGTACACAATATCATTCTAGTGTAACAATCGGTACATTTTTTCAGTTAAAAATGCTTCGAAACCCTCGGGCCCCATTTCTATGATGATCGCCCCTGTGTGCACTCTAACTGTGCTGCTCCTTCTGTCTCTCAGCGAAAACAAGCAGCTGTGTGTGTGTCAGGCATAATGTGTGTGTGTGTTGCGTTTCCGTTTGCCTCGGGACAGAACTCAGAACCATTTTTGGACCTTACTGTTGGGTGGGAGGTAGGAGGGGGTTTCCAGCACTTTTAGTACAAATTGATTTTCTAACCTTTAACAAGTTAATTTCAAGACATAGTAAGATGTAAATATATTAATCAATATATTTCTTATAAAATTGACCATAGTTTTTCACTTTTTATAAACATTTGAAAAAGATCAACACTTTGCATAAATTTCAGCTCCTCTCAAGGTTCACCTCCAGAAATCAAGCTCATCAAGTGGAAGCTCATTGGTAGAATTCTCTTATGACAGAAAGAAGGCTGACGATTCACTCCATTGTCATTATTCTGTCACCCAGAGGGGTGAAACAGTTATTTACAAAACCGAATTCATACAGCTGTCTTAAACACTTCATACATTCAGCGCTATGTCCTCACATCTGTAGTTTTTCCCCACCTTCAATCCATTATGGGCGGCCTTTTATAGGCTCCACAACGCACTGTGTGGATGCACGTGCACGACTGGACGCTCTCAAGAACTTTCTGGAAGTTCTTGTCTTGTGACCCTGTTTTTGCCATGACTTGTGACTTCCAGCTTGTAAACATCCTGTTTACAAGATTTGCGCATGACTTCCAGCCTGCTTGCTCTGTGTTGCTAAGTGGGCATAAGGTCAGAAACAGGACTACATAAAGCAGTATATATATATACACACAGTGGGGCAAAAAAGTATTTAGTCATCCACCAATAGTGCAAGTTCTCCCACTTAAAAAGATGAGAGAGGCCGGTAATTTCCATCATAGATATACCTCAACTATGAGAGACAAAATGAGAAAAAAATCCAGAAAATCACTTTGTCTGATTTTTAAAGAATTTATTTGCAAAATATGGTGGAAAATAAGTATTTGGTCAATAACAAACCAGTAAGATTTCTGGCTCTCACAGACCTGTAACTTCTTCTGTAAGAGGCTCCTCTGTCCTCCACTCAATACCTTCATTAATGACACCTGTTTGAACCCGTTATCAGTATAAAAGACACCTGTCCACAACCTCAAACAGTCACACTCTAAACTCCACCATGGCCAAAACTAGAGAGCTGTCAAAGGACATATATATATATATATATATTCAATTCAGTTTATTTATATAGCGCCAAATTCACAACACATGTCATCTCAAGGCACTTTACAGTTCAACCAGATCATACAGTCAAATTGATACAAAGTTTTCTATCTAAGGAAAACCAGTTGATTGCATTGACTCATTGACTCAAATACAATCCCCCACACTAAGCATGCTTGTAGCGACAGTGGAGAGGAAAAACTCCCTTTTAACAGGAAGAAACCTCCAGCAGAACCAGGCTCAGTGTGAGCGGCCATCTGCCGAGGCCGACTGGGGTTCAATATAAACAAGGGTGTTGATAGAAGCAGCACAGCTGATGTTTCTTTCCAGGATGCCGTCACAGCCAAACAGGAACAGACGAGGCAAAGCTACTCTGAGGTAAAGCAGAGAGAGCAGAACGTTAGAGATTGAACTAACAGATTCTGCAGAATAGGAGAACAGAGAGAGAATGAAGCAGAATGATGAAATGGGGGTCCCTATGTCCTCCAAAAGTCTAAGCCTATAGCAGCATAACTATAGAGATAGCTCAGGATAACCTGAGCCACTCTAACTATAAGCTTTATCAAAAAGGAAAGTTTTAAGCCTAGCCTTAAAAGTAGACAGGGTGTCTGCCTCACGGACTAAAACCACTAGTAAACCTGCAGATTGAGAGCGAAGTGCTCTGTTAGGAACATAAGGAACAATCAGATCTCTGATATAAGATGGAGCTTGGCCATTTAAGGCTTTATATGTGAGAAGGAGGATTTTAAATTCTATTCTGGATTTAACAGGAAGCCAATGAAGAGAAGCCAGGATAGGAGAGATATGATCTCTCTTTTTAATTTTCATTAGAACTCTGGCTGCAGCATTTTGGATCAGCTGAAGGCTTTTAACTACAGTTTGTGGACTTCCTGATAGTAAAGCATTACAATAGTCCAGCCTTGAAGTAACAAATGCATGGACTAGTTTCTCAGCATCACCCCTGGACAGGATATTTCTAATTTTTGCAATGTTCCTCAGATGAAAGAAGGAAATTCTAGAAACCTCTTTGATATGGGATTTAAATGACAGGTCCTGATCAAAAATAACACCAAGATTTTTTACTTTATTATCTGAAATCAGTTTAATCCCATCCAAATGAAGTGACTGGCCAATCAGTTTCTTTTTCAGAGACTCTGGTCCAAAGACTATAACTTCTGTTTTGTCTGCATTCAGAAGCAGAAAGTTAAGAGTCATCCAGGTTTTTATGTCTTCAAGACATGCCTGTAATCTATGTAATGGGTTAGCTTCATCTGGATTTATAGACAGATATAGCTGGGTATCATCAGCATAACAGTGGAAATTAATCCCATGCTGTCTAATAATTCTACCAATTGGGAGCATGTATAAAGTAAAGAGAATTGGTCCTAGCACTGATCCCTGTGGTACTCCACAGGTAACCTTTGAGCGTGTTGAAGATCTATCATTAACATGAACAAACTGAATTCGATCAGATAGATAAGATTTAAACCAGTCTAGTGCTGTTCCTTTAATTCCAACAAAATATTCAAGTCTTTCTAAAAGAATATTATGGTCAACTGTATCAAATGCAGCACTAAGATCCACCAGGACGAGCACAGATACAAGTCCATTATCTGAGGCCATGAGAATATCATTAGTGACTTTCACCAGAGCTGTTTCAGTGCTATGATGAGCTCTAAAGCCAGACTGAAACTCTTCAAAAAGTTCATTATGGTGGAAGTGAACGCAAACTTGTTTGGCAACTACTTTCTCAAGAATTTTGGATAAGAAAGGAAGATTGGATATAGGTCTATAATTGACCAAGTCATCTGGATCAAGAGACGGTTTCTTAAGCAGAGGTTTAATTACAGCAACCTTAAAAGCTTTATATAGCATATATATATATACACACACACACACACACACACATATATATATATATATATATATGTGTGTGTGTATGTATATATATATATATGTGTGTGTGTGTGTGTGTGTATATATATATGTGTGTTTGTGTGTGTGTGTATATATATATGTGTGTGTGTGTGTGTGTGTATATATATATATATGTGTGTGTGTGTGTGTATATATATATATATGTGTGTATGTATGTGTATATATATGTGTGTATATATATATGTATATATGTATATGTGTATATATATATATATGTGTATATATATATATATGTATATGTATATGTGTATATATATATGTATATATATATATATATGTATATACTAGGGTTGTCACGATACTAAACTTTTCAACTCGATACCGATACTAAGGAAAATATTCGATACTCGATACCATTTTCGATACCACAAGGATAAAAACAAAGACTCCAAAATTCTACAGAAATACTTTCATTAATAAATAAAATACAATAAATAAACACAATAAAGGTTGTATGCTGTGCATAATATTAACCTCCTGAGACCCCGCATCCTCATATGAGGACGTTACATTTTTGCTGTTCTGGCCCATGAAACTTAATTTGTAAGAAGTTTGACCAATTGTCCTCACCTGGGGGCCCTGCCTCCACCACCTAGTGGTCTCATAATGAAATTACACTCATTTGAAAAAAAACAGCATGGCAGGAATGACAGCGAAAGTCTTCTACGGCAGCTCCCGACAGAAACATGGACAAGGTAAAAATCCTAATCGAATTTTATGATTGAAACTAGTTTTTTTATGCACAACAATGTCTCTAGCTTCACATAGCATGCTTATTTGATATATTTGAGTAATATTAGCAAGCTACAACGTCTGTAAACATGATGTACTTATTTGAGGACATCAGGTCTAGCTTCAGTGCAAAAACGTAAAATTTTTCCAAGAGCATTTGTGTTTACTTCTAGTCAAAATGTCTAATTTCTAGTCAAAATAATTCTTATTACACTTAAAATAAGACTCATCCTCCAAAAAGTAACGTGTTTTTAGACAATCAGCACTTGTTTCAATGAACTTTCACTAAAAAATAAGTAGAATAATTTGCCAGTGGAGCAGGTTTTTATTTCCTATTACAAGGAAATAGAAATAGCATTTTTATCATTACAGGGAGAATTTCCTTTTCGAGAACTGAACGATTGCTAAAAGCAATCGAAAATGACTCTGAGATTGAAGATTTGTCAGGTGGTGAAGAGGATGAAATCGCTCCATGTGAAGCAACTCTGGGCCCAAAAACTTTTTTAATCCCCTTTTTCTCGGGTAACTAAAGGGTCCCAAAAAAAAAAAGCATCTTGAAAGGGGGGAAAAAAACCAAATTTCTTTTTTCCGTCACATTTGAAAAAAAAAATTTTTTTTTGAAATAAAAATGATTAAAATTTTTTTTAAAAGACCCAATGTCGGGTAAAACCAAAAAATTTGAAAAAAGGTTTTATGGAAGTCCTCTTAACCCCTGTCTTATTTTTTAAGGATTATGAAAAAAAAAAAAAAAGGGGGGGGGGAAAACTTGCCTTCTCAAAAAATATTTTAAAACTAGAAACTTTTTTTCCAAAGTAAAAATTTTGCATTAGAAAAGTAGACTTAAAAAATGGTTAAGGATGACCATTTTTTAATTTCCATCGATGTTGTTTTTTCCCCCCCCCAAAATCCCTTTTGGACTAACTAAAATTGTTGGTTGAAAATAAAGATTTTTTAGTGGGAAAGTTTGAATGGTAATTGAGAGGGACACCTTTAAACGGAAAAAAACTTTTGGAAGGTGAGGTTTCTGAACGCCCAAAAGGGCTTTTCACCCACCCAGAACCCGTTTAATGATGGAATACTTCCGGGGTTTTGCCTTTCCCCATATTCCTTTTAAAGAAATTTTTTGGTAAGTTTTTTGTTAACGCAGATGGGGTCGTTTGACAAGAAATTAAAAGGATCTGAAGGGTGCTTTTGGGGGGATTTTTGGGACGGGTCCCAAACCCGAAAAAACAGACACCCCGGTCAAATTTTACTGGGGGTTCTTCAAAACATACTGGGAACCCTGGGAAAACAGTTTTTTTAAAATTTGTTTCCCCAAATTTAGGGGAAAATTTTTTTTTTTTTTTTGGTTCCCCACCCACAAAAAAAAAATTTGCCCTTTTTTGGGAATTTTTGCATTGGCATGAGGCCCCCCCTTTTTTTTGCAGGGTCCTTTAAAAAAATTTCCTTCAAAATTTTTTGAAATCAATTTTTGGAGGTGCCTCTTTCAAAAAAAGGCCCCCAAAAAGCTGCAAAGTTCCTGACAGAATCCCAAAAAAAAAATCCCTTTCCGACGTTTCGGGGGGGGGGGGAAACAATTTTGTAAAAATTTGCAACAACGGCCGATGCCCGTTCCCGAAAGGGGCCAAAGGGGTAACCTGCCACTTTGGTAAGAGGAAAATGTTTAAACCGGCCAAAAAATTTGACAAAAAATAAAATGGGGGGGTGACTTTCAAGGGTTTACCCCCCCACAATAGGGCGAAAAAGAAGGGAAATTATTTTCACTTTTGGTTTTTTTTTAAGCTTCGTTCCAGAATATAAAAAAAATTTTTCCCCAAGGGTTTTAGTTTGGCCCCGCCAGGCGGGGTTTGGTTTCCCTAAAAGGGTTATTTCCCATAAAAAAAGGGTCCTGTTTCCAAAATGGAACAATGGGGCCCCCCCCAACCGGGAAAATTCTGGCCATTCCAAAAAGTGCGTCAAGCAAGGGGTTTCAAAAAAGGCGGTGGGAATTCCCGGTGGGTGAATGGTTTTTGGGCCCAAAGCGGCAAACTTTTTGTTTTTAGGGGCGAGGATACTAAAATTTAAGGGAGTTTACTAAAAAATTTAAGAGTCAAAAAATTTTTTGGGGAAACCTTTCAGAGGGAAGGGAAAAATATTTAATTTTTTTGAGTTTACAAAAATTTTTCAATTAAAGTTATAAAACTTTCCTTTTCGCAAAAGCTGCGTTTTTTTTGCATTTTTGGGTTTTGGAAAAAAAAACTTTTGACTTTTCCGGGGTTTTCAGGTAAATCTCAAAAGGGGAAAATGTACAACGGAAAAAGTGAATTCCAATGGAAGGTTTGTCACCAAAACCCCAACCCTCAGGGGGCATTTTTTGATAACCAATTGTAAAAACAAAAAAATTTTTTTTTGGAAAAGGGTTTTAACCCCAAAGGCGGAAAAAAATGTTTAAAAAAAACCCCCCTTTCTAGGGGGGGCCTTGGGCTTTTAAGACATTTTAAAATTTAAAATTTTTTTTACTAAAATTAGGTTTTCCCCCTTTAAAAAAAAGCAAAAAAAAAAAAAAGGGGGGTTAAAAATTTTTAAAAAAAAATTTAAAATTTTTTTTTAAAAAAAATTATTTTTCCTTGGTTTTGTTTGCAAAAAAACTTTTGAAACCTTTAAAAATAAAATTTTCCCCTTTAAAAAAAAAAGCCCCAAAAATGTAAAAAACCGAATTTTTAAACCGGGGTTTGGGAAATGTCCCATTCTGAATTTTTTAATTTTGGGGAAAATTTCGGGGAAAGGGGTAATTTTTTCGGAAAATGTTTTTAAAAAAAAACATTGGGGGGATTATTTTTTTTTTTATTTTTTGGGGGGGTTTTTTTTGGGTTTTTTTAATAAAAAATTTTTGGGGTTAAATTGTTTTTTTAAATTTTTTTTTTTAAATTTTTAAAAAATTTTTTAAAAAAATTTTCTTTTTTAAAAAAATTTTTTTTTAAAAAATATTTTTTATTTTTTTTTTATTTTTATAAAATTTTTTAAAATTTTTTTTAAAAAAATTTTTTTTTTTAAAATTTTAATATTTTTTTTATATTTTTTCCCTTTAAATTTTTTTTAAATTAAAAATTTTATTTATTTTTTTTTTTTTTTTAAAAAAATTAAATTTAAATTTTTTTTTTTTTAAAAAAAACTTTTTAAATTAAAATTTATTTAAAATTTATTTAAAAAAATTTTTTTTAAAAAAAAAAAATTTTTAAATTTAAAAAAATTTTTAATTTTTTTACAAAATTTTAAAAAAAATTTTTTTTTTTTTTTAAAAAAAATTTATTTTTTAAATTTTATTATTATAAAAAAATTTTAAAATTTTTTAAAAAAAAATTTATATTTTTTTTAAATTATATACTTTATATACTTTTTTTTTAATAATTTTTTTATTTTTTTAAAAAAATAAATTTTTTTTTTAAAATTTTTTTTTTTATTTTTAAATTTTTTTTAATAAAAAAATTTTTAAAAATTTTTTTTTAAAAAAAATAATTTTTTTAAATTTTTTTATAAAATTTTCCTTTTTTTTTTAAAAAATTTTTTTTTAAAAAATTAAATTTTTTAAATATATTCTTTTTTATATATTTTTTTTTTTTATACCCATTTTTTTTTTTTATTTTTAAAAATTTTTTTTTTTTAATTTTTTTAAAATTTTTTTTTAAAATTTAAAAATTTTTTTTTAAAACCCAATATTTTTTTTTTTATTTTTTTTATACAACTTTTTTTTAAATATAAAAAAAAAAAAATATTTTTAAATATATATAATATAAAATATAATTTTTATATTTTATATATAAAAAAAAAAATTTTAATATATAAATAAAAAATATATATATATATATTAAAATATTTTATTAATAAAATATAAAAAAATAAAAAAAATTTATTTTTTTTTTAAATTAATTTTTTTTTAAATATTTTTTAAAAATTAAAAATATTTAATTTACACACTTAAAATAGTTAATATAAAAATTAATAAAAAATTAATAAAAAAATTTTAAAAATAATTTTTAAAATTTTAAATTTAATAAAAAAATTTTTTTTTTTTAAAAAAATATGTTTAAAAATAATATTTTAAAAATTTATATGTTTTAAAATTATTTTATTATATTTGAAATTAATATATATTTATATATTTATTGTTTTTAAATGTTTATTAAATATATATAAAATGTATAATAAATTTTTTGTATTATGTATATGAAAATTATGTATATGTATATATTTATATGTATTTTATTATTTTTTAAAAATTATTATATTTTATATTATATGTTATATATGTATAGAAATTTTAATTTTATTTGAAATTTTAAAAAAATTTTTTTAAATATATAATTATATATTTTATATATTTTTATATATGTATAAATATATTATATGTAAATTTTAAAATAGGGATATTATATATTTTAAATTATATATTTTTTTTTTAAATGTATATATTTATTTGAATATTATTATGATATTTTTAAAAAAATGGGGTTTAAAATAATTTGAAAAAATTTTTTATATATAAAATTATAAAAATTTTTAAAATTATAAAAAAAAAAAAAAATTTTTTATATTAAAAAAAAATAAAAAAAATAAATTTTTTAAAAAAAAACCCCCCAAAAAAAAAAATACCAAAATTTTTAAAATTTAAAATTTACAAAAATTTTATAATAAAAAGAAATTTAAAAAATATATAAAAAAAATAAAAAAAAAACAACAAATTTTAAATTAATATCAACCCCCCCCAAAAGGGTTTCCAAAAGGGCATTTCTACCTTTTTTCCCCTTTTTTTTTTGGGGGCCCAAATAGAAAATTTTAAAAATTTTTTTGGTTTTTAACAAAAATTTTTATTTTGGGAGAAAATGGAATTTTAGGGTCTTTGTAAAAAAATCAGCTTCAAATTCCCCCCCCCAGCTCGGAGGTTTACCAATTTTTTGAACGGGGCCCAATAAGTGACAAAATTTTG